GGAAGGCAGGGAAAGCTGCTGAGGTAAAGTTAGAGGTGGGGGCGGGGAACGGAGAGGGGGGGCGCAGAGTGTCTCTGTGAGAAAGAGAGAGACGAGGCTCCATCAGCGAACCTAGTGCCGGGGAGGCTCAGCCGCCGCCATTACGAAACCGAGAACACCGGGGAGGGAGGAGATGGAGATGGGCCGAGAGTTGTGAGAGGGTTGCGATCCGAAGGGGAACGGCGGCCGCTGGCGCGGAGCGAGAGTTCCGGGAATGCTGCCGCTCTTGCTGTGGAAAAGCTGGAGACCGAGGTAGGAAGAAATAAGCCGCTCCTCCTCGTAAGCCCTCCTCCCGATCCACACCGGCCTCCCCCCTCGCTAACTACACCCAAGCCCATAGCTGCAGCGGCGTTGGGGTTTGGAGCCGGGTGGTGCTGCTGCAGCGGTCTGGGCTCTACCGGCTCCTGCCAGTTCCGAGGAAGGCTGGGGCCGCCTTCAGCCGAGACTTCTGAGATTGCTGGGTAGGTCAGAGCTCCGCTTTCTTTTCTTTCCTCTTCCTTCCTTGTGGGAGCCCTTTCCATACCTACACACCCGGGAAGGAGGGGGAAGGGTTGGAAGTGTTGCTTGCTCTGGTCCCAGACAGGTGATGAAGGCCTGAGTCCGCCGGGAGGGTCGGAGCTTGTTCTACCAGCCTCTGGTAGCGACGGCTGCCAGCTGGTCATGGTTCCCCTGGGAGAGGAGAGGACGGAAGAAGGCAGGAAGGAGGCAATTCACCTTTTCTTCTTGCTTCTTTTCTCGGTCTATCCGCCCTTTCTCTCCCTCCCAACTACTATTTCTGCTTTGCTCTCTCAAGTCTTCCATTCTCTCATCTTTCCCTTCCTCAGTTTCCCTCCTCCCCTCTCCTCTTTGACCACCTCCCAAAATCTCGCCATAGCAAACTTTACTCTTTAAAGATGTGAGTGGCCTACTTTTTCTCCTTAAACCCTCCCCCAACTCCGTAGGGTGGATATAATGTCGTTTGAAACATGAGGTTAGGCGGGCTGTGTTGCTTATTACAATTCTTCATGTTCTTTCTTGTCTCTGTAACCCCTGGATTTCCTCTATCAAGGAAAAGCCCTAGATAGAAGTCTGGAAATGGCAGTTTGACTGAGGAGAGTCGTAATTAATTCAGAGGCCGGTTGCTTGCTTTTGGCTTTAATTCTTTTTTTCCATTAAATACTCTGGTGTTTAAAAAAGGGTGTGGAAACCTTCCCATATGTATTCTTCTATGTGAAGCATTCAGCAATTCCAGTGTTCAGGATTTGCCTGAAAAGTAGGAGGAAAATGTTTTAAATTTAGATTAAAATAGGCTGGTGGTGGGTGTACTTAGATTAGGTTTTTGACGATAATTAGTGTATTTTTCCTGTTAGAAACCAGCAGTTAGCAGACATTTCTTAAAGTCTGCATTGCATAGTGAGGCAATACATGGGATCCAAACAGTTGTAGATCAGTTGTATATTCATTTTATCATGTATTTAGGTCTTTGTTGACAAGCATTATTCATATTATTCATACTGGTATTAACCAGTTAAAAATGATCAAAAGGTTAATTAGTATGTGGACAATTCTACTTTGTTTTGTTCTTAATATTAAATATTTGTTTCATAATTTTAATGACTACACACCTTGATTTTCTATTTTGTGAGTTACTAATGAATGTTTTGTTTGTGATTAATCACAACACATTAAGAATGTATATTATAAATATAGAGAGATACTACTGTACAAATGGAAATTTTAGCTTCACAATTAAAAACTTGCTGTAAGTTTATTAGGTACTATTAGTACTTGAGGTTTTAGCAGACACTTTGCAGTGTACCATATTACATTAATGTAGTGTATCTGAGCACGCTCTTATCTATGCTTTAAGCATTAAGCTGAAGTCCCATTGACAATACTTGATCCGAAATAAGAGTGCCTAAACTTGCAGTGAAATTCTATGCATACTTCTAAATCCCATTAACTTTGATGGGGATTATTCTGGAGAAGAATGTACAACATTTCAGTTGTCAACTGTTAAAATGTTTCATTTGCCAGTTTTAATAGGCGTTTAATGTTTGGCATGCAAATAAAGCTGGTAGTTTTAATGAAGTAGTTTTGTAATAAAATAATAATATAACTTTAAATAATATAAAAAATGAGCTAAAGCCTAATCCAAATATTCTGCATTGCTTATGGATTGATTTGCCTATATTATTTACAGCTGCAAATTAATGTTTTTGTTTCTTCAGATTTTTCCTACTATTAGTTTCAGTAAATAAGTACATAAAGCATTGTTCAGTTTGTTAAATAGGTTTCAAAAAACTCTTAAATCCATGGTTGTGGACTTTTATTCATACTTATGTAATTTTTTTTCATACACTGAGTTTTCTGGATTCATTAATAATATGCTTTGTACTCCATAAACTACTCTGTTTAGAGCACTTTAACTAAAGGCCTATACTGACCATAAGTTATATTCTAGATGAATTCTGATTTGCTAATATAGCTGCAAGTATAGGCCAGTTAGTGTCTTCCAAAAACCATGGACTACAGCTCCCATATCTGGCTACAGTTGTTGGGCCATGAATCCAAAACATCTGGACAGCATCTGCCTGATTGCCTTGGTCTAGTATGACTTTGCAATGCATTCTTTTAAATTATGGTCTAATATTTCACTTCATAAGTATGTACATCTATCAAATTGGGCCTAAGCATTTATTCTGTCATGTTTGCTAATCTCTTACAGTATTGCTCTGATGCAATTGTGAGGTTGCTGCACTTCATCATACACTATGGTTTATTCTATAGTAAATATTTATTTATAGAGTTACAATAAGCTAGTGAAATAGAACTTTATAATCATGTTGCGAATATTTAGTTCAAAATTGGTAGAAACTGAATAGACATGTGTTGTAAAATTACTGTAAAAAGTAATTTTACAATTGTAAAGTAGCTAGCATTTGTTGGTGGGGGGAGTAAATGCTTATAATTGGTAAAGATGCCTCTGTAGCTTCCCAATTTGGAATCCAACTTTTAGAAATAGTAAAAAGAAATAACTTTACATTTTGTATAATTTGCAGTAAATCAGTTGACACTACAGGGAATTTTTGTCTTGTTTGAAGGTTTTTGATGTTGATGCTGAATGAATATTGTATAACAAATGCTAAGAATCCTTAAGTGCAGTCTATGAATTTATGATACATTTTAAAACTTTTTTAATCTAACAAATATATCTGGGCAGTTTTTAGGGATAACTGGTAGCTATCATAAACATTCTGGAAATGTTATGTCATTTGAAATAATTCTAATGTAATTCATAACAACACATGGAATAATTTTATAAAATAAGCTTTTTTTTAAGTGGCAAAATATTTGCCAACTATAAATGGTACATCTGTTTAGAAATGAAATTTTCAGGAAATCAGGTTTACAAATACTGTGAAGTATAGAAATTGATTAATCAAACTTGTAAATTATTAAGCTACATGAAAATCATACAAGCCTGACAAATGGTAGTCTTTGTCAGAATTCAAGGGAGAGTCAGGTTCAGCTTGTCTTGCAATGCTTTGGGCTCATCTCTAAAGCTAAAAGCAAGTTCCTCTGGCTCTTTCCAACTTTCTTCAGTGATGTAAGATGTGGCCATTCATGTTAGCTTTGGAGGAAGGTTGCAAGCAGCAAGTACAACTCAAGCTTTTGACTTTCTTTCTAAAACCTGGCATTAACTGAAAGACAAAAGTAGGGAGATTGGTTTTTCACGTCTTGCAGAAATTGAAATAGCAGAAACACGAATATTTGAAAAAGGAAACAAGATGTCTCACTTAGTGATAGGCATTTAGGGAAAGGCTAGACAGTTGCCAAACTAGCCAGTGGTGGTTAAAATTGGTGATTTGGCAACAGTTAAGATGCTCTTATCTTATTATCAGGAACACCTATTATTTTGGACATATAAGTGCTTATGAAATTCTGTAGAAGTTTAATACAGTTATATCTACAGCTGTTGGAAGTACATAAGGCATTAGAATGAATTTCCTCAAATTACTCCTTCAATGTTTATTCAGAGATCTGGACAATCTTCCAGCTCATATTAAGGAGATGCAATTAAATACTGTTTGTTAAAACATTTATGTTTGGATTCATGGATATTATATTTTAGTGTTGTTGAAATCAATACAAAAGTAATCATGACCAGCAATTTAGATTCAGAATGAAGTACCATGCAACCTAGTGGACCAGTTGGTGGGAGGGCATATCCATTATAGCTGAATATCTGTTAACATACATTTATCTGCTTCATCCAGACTACTTCAGATGCAGTGCACTTTTCTATTATTTCAGGGAAATGTCTGGATAGAAATTTGTTCTTTTGCATTTGGACTGCTAAATGGAAATCTCTTAAATCAAGGTTTCATTGTACATGAGAAGAATCCTGTCGCATCACGTGAAAGACCTTGGTATTCCAGCTTTCTGTATGACATAGGTGATAGATGAAGCTTACAGGCATGATATGAAGGTCCGTTCCCATCCCATCCCATCCCATCCCATCAGCTAGAAAGCATTTTGCCTGTAATGTAGGAGATAGTATATAGCCCTTAAAGCTAGCAGGCAGTATATGCCATCATATATGAATTTGTCTACTCCTTTGGCCATTATTTAATTATGTATTATATGAAAAAACACTTCCTTGCATTGATCCTAACTTCAGTGAGTGCCCCAGGCTCTAATATTATGAAAGAAGGAAAAAACTTGCAGTTTACCTTTTCCATTACATGTATCTTTTTGCTACAGTGACATTGTTAATTAGTTAGGAAGTCTTAGTTGCGTGCTGTTTTCTTGATAAGCAATTAATAATGGATTGAATGTATTAGTAATGTGAAGTTTATTATTATATCATTTTATATAACAACCCATTTCACAATTGTCACTCTGTGTGGCGCACATAGGGTTAAAACCAAAGAGACCAAATAAGAAAAATAGAATAAGTAATGGGGGCTGAAGAAAAATCCAACTGAGTCTTTCTTTCCATTGGTTTCTGTTGCCACAGGATTGATCTGACACTTGAATTTATCACTTATTGAGGGTTTGTTTATTTCAATTATTATTTTGGAATACAAATCCTATCAAGGCACCTTACAACTAGCTTAAATAGCAGTGAAAAAAATCTGAATAAATTATAAATATAAAAGCAACAACAACTGGAACCTTCTGTCTTCAAGGATCCTTTGACACAGTGGATGGTAGAAATGGCACTGTGGGGGCCAGGAACAGTCTAGCTGATTATGAGATGGCCTTCATCTGCTTTCTTTTTCTTTTTCTTTTCTTTTCTTTTCTTTTCTTTTCTTTTCTTTTCTTTTCTTTTCCTTTTCTTTTCTTTTCTTTTCTTTTCTTGAGATCTTTCTGATAAGAGATTTTGAAATTTTATTTATTTGTTAGATTTATAGTCAGTTTTGTTCAGGAGCTCAAGGCAATGTATCTAGTGCTTCTTCCTCCTATTTTCCTACAACAACCTGGTGAGGCAGGTTGGGTTGAGATAGTGATTGGCCCAAAGTGTGAGCTTCTGTGGCTGAGGATAGATTTGAACCAAGGGTTCCCCAGTACCTCCCCAATGTTTGAACTACTATATCATATTGGATAATTAGTTTATGATAGATTAGTATATGTATATCCTTAGTTGCAACTGAAAGTGGCATCTGTCTTAGTGGTTAAAGTGCTGAACTAGGAGTGGGGAGACTTAGGAATTAAAGTACTCTAGAAATTTGTGTAAATAACTCTTTAAACTGGGCAGTTATATTTGGATGCCATCTCCTTAGTTCCTATGAAAATAATGTTGCTATTGCATTACCCCATAAATAATCATCAATTTGAATTATTTCATTGTTAATTAAAATAATTTTTTATCTTTTTCAAAGAAGGCTTGTAACCTGCATCACTTTCCAATATATCTAAAATAAGGAGAGCTGCTTATTATCTGAATAATTGTCTCCTATTAATTTGATTAAATTTTTGCGGAATATCTCAAAGGGTTTCAGTAATACCCCATAAGATAACTCAGTTCATGGGGGAATACTCTAAGAAGGCATTTACTTGGTGCAGAATGAATTGGGGTGTGACTGAGTGCTTATGTGTACATTGTTTGTAATGTAAAAATTCATCAATCACAATCTAAATGCAAGAAAAAACAGTAATGTAACATCCTAGGAGAATGATGTTTCACAGTTTATTTCCTGTTCTTTCATTTTAGCATAAAGTCTTTGAGTCAAGCTCAACTCCTGGTATCTTCACAAAAGCATCCATGTAGTTTTCTTGACAAAATTGGTTTTTCATTGCCTTCTTCCTGGGTGTTTTTTTTCCTCCCCAATATTAGTCTAGTTTACAAACCTGGTATTTCCTGGTGGTCTCCCTCCCAGATTGCAATACTAGTTAGGCTTAGCTTTTGAGCGTATACTTAGCTGAGCAATTTTAGCATAATGCATGCTTAAATGTTAGTGAGTTTAACCATTCTTTTCAGTCTAATCTAAGTGATTGATATTCTAATCCAGCACATCTATAGAATGGAGAGTGTGTGGAATTTTACTTTTTCTTTTTCTTTTCCTTTTTTGATGAGATGATTATCTCCCTTAAAGGTCAGATTCAGAGTGTGAAGGTAATTTTTTGGGGATCCAACTGTACCTTCCAAGCTGTATCTCTGGTTAGAAGGATTTTTCATTAGTTTTTGTTTGTATGCCTGTTGCACCCTCTTCTGGGCAGTTATGATTTTGTCCTTCTCCCATATGCCTTGGTAATTTTAAGATTAGATATTATGATACATTCTATATAGAATAAAAGTATTCAGAAGCCACATTTGATCCAAAACAAATTATTGTTAATTGGTATCAGCATTAAAATCTCAAACTTCTTCACTAACAATCAACTGAATTTTGTACAGATCTGTCTAGTCTGGAATTTTGTTCCCACAGTGATTATCCAGATGTCACTGGGAAGTATGTGTGTAACAAGGGTAATAGTGTCTTTCTCTTTATATTTTCTAGCCCAGAGTGACAGGAAAAATAGACTGTTTGTATTTATGGAGACACACTAGAAATCACATTGACTGGTAACCACTGGTAGCTTTAACAAAAAAAAATTTTTTTTTTAATCATCCAGTTTGATGGTGATATGGTAGTTAATTCTTCAGGCTAGCACTTATCTTTGTGAAGAACCATTTTATTTAAAATAGACTCACCATTTAGCTTTGTTGGATAGCTCTGTGTCACAATATTTTGCGGGATTAGGGTCCACTATTGACAGTTTTCTATTGTAATGAAAAATGTATTAGCCTTGACAGTTTGTGTCATCACGTGATTAAGCAATTGATGCTAATCAATTTGGAAACTTAGTCCATTCCAAGCAAAGACAATTGCGTTGAGGTCTGGTAAATTAACATTTCACTATATGACCTTTTGTGTATTGTTTTACATGGGAATAAAGAAAAAATGTGGGCAATGAGTTATTGTAATACATGTTCATGAAGAATGAATAAATTCTAATCTGTATCATCATGGCCCATAATAAATATTGTTGCAAATTGTAGTCCAACTGAATCTGGCTGTCCATATCTGTTTTAAGGTCTGAGGATGAATATCATCTTGAGTCTACGAAAATAGTTTACAATTGTCTTTTCTAGTACAGATTCATATAATATCAGTCTAGAAATAACTGAAATATTGTGTTCTTTTGTTCATTTGTGACAAATCTTATAAAAGAATAAAGCTCTTTCAGCAGTTTTTAAATGCTTTAAAAATAAAATTGAAACTCAGTTTCTAAACTGCATAGAGCTACTAATAGGAGTGGGTAATATGTAGCATTTTAAAATACTATAAAGGGTTAAGTAGACTTAAATGAAAATTCTAAGAAAAACTATATCTTGCTCTGTATTATTATTTTGCCTTCATGCTTTTAAAAATGTCTCATCTCCTTGATTTTTAGATCTTTCAGTGAGTAGCATTTTGAACATCACTGAAATGTGTGACATTGCAGTACTTTCCAAGATCTTTTTGGCAACAGTCTCCTTGCATTTTTTTCTGTAAGGGTAAGTTGAAATTTCTGAATATTTGAAAATTTAATAGATGTGTAACATTGTTTCACCTTCTCAGCATTGTGCATTTTGGCATCTAAAAGGCTGTATGGATAAGTTATAGAAGTAATTAACATAAACCTGGTGCCTATTTTTCCTACACAATGTGACAAGAATGTGATGCTTGTTCCTGATTTTGATTAAGCATGTAGTACTAGATTAGGAAGTCACATCTGCTGTTGAGTGGCAGTAATAAACATACTCTTGTTTAAATATGTGATTAATGTAATATATAGTTATGCCCCATACTGTATTCCTTTCAACTGAAATGTCCAACTGTAGAACTCAACTGGATATTTACTCTTTCTACCTACTGTGTTCTTCTACTTTCTGACTAAACTTTACTATTAGTTGTATTGATTGCTTCTTTTTGCCAGCCTTCATGGCTATTTCTGTGCCTGTTGATGTTTTTGGAACAAATTCCTACATATTCTTTTTCTTAACTATTCCAGGTACTTATTTGCTGTGTGAAATGTTGATTTATGTGTATGAGTCTTGCACTAATCTTTTCTTACTCTAATAGATATGTTCAGTATTCAACAAACCCATTTCCCCCAAAGGTGAGGGGTCATAAAGTCTTTGATGTTAGTGAGCTAGAATGCTAAGAGAGGGAGATACTGTAGCAGCTATGCCTGACTGCTAGAAAAATCTGAAGTAGTTTTTTGTTCTAATACAGACTTATTTTAGCAGATAATATCAGAGCTTATTTGCTTAACATCTCCTTTTTCTCTATATCACCATCATTCTGTCTTTCCAATTGGAAAAATTTTCTCTGAAGTTGGGCTTATGCAGTATGATGTTAAAGGTAACAAATTATATTACAATTTAGTGCAATATGAATTAAATGGACTTTGGAAACTCTGGTTTATGACTTAGTTTTTTATGTGAATCCAGTCAATAAAAATACATTGATAATCATTCACCTATCAATATAATGCATGAATCTGATTTCTTGCTTTCTTGCTCCCACTTTCCATACAAGAAAGCCTGTGAAGAAGATAGGACTTTTGCATTTCCTTTTATTTGCTCCTTCTAATCTGGATTGAGAAAAATAAAGGCTGGAGTTTTGCTATAAGGATGACTGATCAATTTGTGGGGGGGAGATTTTTTTTGAATTGGGGGGAGAAGAGGCAAGATCATGTCTCATAGTCTTTTTAAATGGGCTTGAAATTAGATACATGCTGTGCTATAATTTGCCAAGAAGGTGGTGGAAATTTTTACTTTTCCAAAGTAGACCAATGTGGGATTACATTTTATGAGAAACTGGGCTGCATATGCTGTTATTTACTAGCCTTTCATCCTAACTCTGTGGCCATAGCAGACTTCCACTTATTTGTTGGATAAAGTTAGCACTGCATATTGATCAAAGGAACTTCTACATTGTTGCTGGATGTTAGACTCCCCCCCCCCCGCCATCTTAGGATATAATTAGTTTTTTTTTTTTTTTGCAAAAATGCCCCCAGTCTCATTGGCATGGTTTGCACATACTTTCAAGGCAGGATTTCACATTGATGTACATGAGCAGGATTGTGACCGTGTGAACTACTAATTAGAGCACTCCCTCTCTACTCTGGATAGTTCTGGTTTGCTTAGCAAACTAAAGTTTGCTGATAACAAACCAGGAATCTACTAAAACAAAATGATGGGAGAAAGAAAGAAGCATATTGCAGACTCTATCTGAGCCCATTTTTGCCTGTGCATTTAATGTTAAATGATCTGCAGGGTGAAAGGCATGTTGTTGTAAATCTTTGATAAAACCACAAAGGGCAAAATGCTTAGAAAGAGTCTGATCTAATTTGGCTAAGCATCTAAAACATAGACTAAATTATTGTAAATGAGCCAAAAGAAATTGGGATTCATGTGCTTCTTCTCCTCTCTCCTGCAAACATCAAAACTGCTGTAACTATAGATCCCTGTTTTATGTGGATTTGAAGAACTGGTAATTCTGTTTTAAGTTAATTAGAATAAATCAGAATATCAAGTTGTGCTTTATCATGAGTAATTTTTTTTCTCTAGACTAGGCCTCATTGTTGTGCTTTCTTAAGAAATAACTGTATTTGATGGCTACATTTTGAAATAAGTTTAAAACTGGGGTTGACTAGCAGCTAATCATGGTTATAAAGAGATAATAAAAAAGAGGTAGGGCTGTGGCTGGAGAAATTGCTTTAGAAATTGCTACGCCCATACTGGGAAGAAGCATGAGAGTCAAAGATATGTTTTTAGTTTAGTTATCAGATTGGCTGCTTTAGAACATACTTTTAGAAAGGAGCAGGCCTTTAGAAGGGCAGTTAATTCTTGGCTCTTTCCCTGAGCCTTTGGGTCAGAACTAGCAGAGTTTCCAATTGGATGAGTTTGATTGATTGATTGATTTATATAGCCACCCTCTCACATATGTGACCCTGGGCAGCTTACAGAGTTAAAAACAAAAAACAATACAAAAATAACAAATCATAACATCAAAAGACCATTAAAATAATAAAAACTATTAAAACCATAAAAAAAATCTGCAGAAGAGTGCAATCAGTCTCACTAACAGTACAGCCATTTTGCATGTTCCACACCACCACTACCAGATCCCCAGGCCAGATGGCAAAGCTATGTCTTCAGGCCCTTCCAGAAGATTAGTAAGGTTGGGGCTAGTCTGACCTCAGGGGGATTGATGTCCCAGAGGTTGGGTGCTGCAGCAGAAAAGGTTCTCATGGGTCCCTTCAGATGACATTTTTTAGTGGATGAGACCTGCAATATGTCCTTTCTACTGGACCTGATAGGATGGGTAGATGTGACTGGGGAGAGGTGGTCGCTCAAATGTATGGTATATTTTAGTTCTGATCATCATTTTATTGTCTAAGGTTTTTTTTTAAAGATTTTTTTATCTTGCTTTTATTATTTTTATAAATAACTCATGGCAGCGAACATACCCAATACTCCTTCCTCTTCCTATTTTCCCCACAACAACAACCCTGTGAGGTGAATTGTACTGAGAGAGAGTGACTGGCCCAAAGTCACCCAGCTGGTTTTCATGCCTAAGGCAGGACTAGAACTCAGAGTCTCCTGGTTTCTAGTCTAGTGCCTTAGTCACTTGATCAAACTGGCTGTCTAAGTTGGCTTTTAATGGTATGTGCTATTTTCTTTTGCATTTTTTTAATGATTTTTGTACACCATCCAGAATCACGCTGTCTGAGTTGGGTGGCCATATAAATGCTCCCAATAAATAAAGATTGAGTTTATACATTGCACTAAGCTATAATGTGATTGGTTTGATTGTGTTTAGCATGTTGTACCACATAGTTGTGGCTTATTCAATAAATCATGGCTAAACAAACAGTAAAGAGCTGGTTTGGTGTAGTGGTTAAAGGCACTTGACTAGAAACCAGGGGACTGTCCTGCCTTAGACACAAAGCCAGCTGGGCAATTTTGGGCCAGTCACTCTCTTTCATTCCTAGGAAGAAAGCAATGGCAAATCACTTCTGAAAAATGTTGTCAAGAAAAATGCATGGGCTTGTCCATGTAGTCACCAGGTGTCAAGACTGACCTGAAGGCATAAACAACCACCACCAATGGTTTAGCATCTCATTCCCTCAGTATAAAATTGTTCTCAATACTAAATAGATCCATATTTTTATTGCAAGTCAGTATTATTTATGCATGTTACTTCTACACCACTTCAAACCATTAACTTTAAGAGGTTTTAACTAGATGAAAAAGGGGAGAAAGAAATGTTGGATTAAAATGATTCAGTTCTTGAGAAGAATATTGAAAGTCGAAGAAGAGTACAGGTAGTCCTCACTTAGCAACCATAGTTGGGACCAACAACTCTGTTACTAAGTGCCATGGTCATGAAGCAGAAAATCACATGACTGTGATGGACTTACATTACTTCTCATTTGATCGTTAAGCAAGTCACATGGTCATTAAGCAAAACATCATGTGACCATGATGATTTTACTTCCGTTTCCATTAACTCTGCTTGTCACAAGCCAGTTGTGAAACATGCAAATAGTGATCATGTGACTGTGGGATGCTTCAACAGTCATAAATGCGAGGACTGGTTGCATAACTTTGAACAGTCACTAAGTGAGGCAGTTGGTAAGCGAGGATTACTTGTAGTTTGATGAACTGGGATTTAAAAAGCACAAGGGGATAGAATCAGATATGTGAACAGGATAACAGATTAGTATATTTAAAAAAAAACTAAAGAAAAACTTAGAAAACGTTGCATAGACTTATTGGAGCTTCTGCTCTTAAGCATTCTACAGCTTCAAAAGCAAATCCCATATACCACACTGCAAACTTCATAAAGTTCTTACAGTTTTAAAAAGCAGCTTCTGATATTTGTAGGAAAATAAAAAGCAGGTTTCTGAACAGTGACTTGGATTGTGGCAGTGTTGAATATAAAAGTGGGGTGGTGAGGACTCTGAAAATTGACTTATAAGGCATAAGAGAAATAAATTTAGGCACTTTCAGCTTTCTGAAGGGAAAATAGAGTAAGTTGATATTACAGTGATTGAAAGAAAGATGAGCAGATTTTTAGAAACCTTTTTCCTAAATATGTAAACAGGAAAAGAACAGCAAAAAAGAAAAGTGATAGAACTTTGTGACTTGTTGACTTGGGAAGAAGACTGGGGCAGAGTTAAACATGCTTCTGTTTTGATTTCCTTTGTGATAGAGAAGGGGA